GCTATACAGCCTTTACGCATTTTTCAAAGACTGTTGCATTTTTAGCCAACTACTGTTACTATAACATGGCCACCAAAAAATTTCCTCCTGACAATGTCCTGTTGTCTTCTACACACACCTCTCCTTAATGTAGTTATCTTCATGCTCAGTTTGAATTTATATCTTTATACAATAGTCATATGTCACATTAAGGTAGTTATTGCTTGCTGTGCATGTGATCACGCCTCCTCTTCACAGGGCTGAACATAATCTTTCATAGTCTAATTTCAGTTTAAGAAATCTCTGACACTTTTAACTAAGACAAACAGCCCTGGTTTCAGCTTTGAGTCCACTCATTTGCAGATAACAGACTGTAACAGGGAGTGAATTGAATAAACATTGTGTCAACTTCAGGTGTAAGTACACCGCATCATTATCTGCTGCAGTAAATTGCAATAACAATTGTTAGTTATTTCCAACTGTGCTTCAAAATGTCTACTACAAAAAGCTGTAAAACACTATAAATTTGATTTATGCTAGTAATGTACATAAAATAAAATAAAAAAACAGGGAAAACTATAAATGGGTCTGTTTTTAAAGTGCACAATCACAGCTAACATAAAATGTGGCAACAGAGTTCATGCTCTTGTTAATGGTGGATTAATAAAATTCTACTTGGCTCGTGCTAGCTTCCTCAAAGGTCTTCAAGGTTAATAAATATGCGACAGACATTTGCAACAAAAGGGAGTGTGAAATTTTTCAGCATTAAAGTGCATGTTGCGTAAGAGAAAAGACTCAGATACGGCTCCTTTCCAGCCTGCTGCTCTTCGAGAAAACAACCATTACTACTTATATTTTAATTAAAACATGCTACTGCTTTACTTTAGATTCATGTCTACCACTTGTCTGGTAATCAGTGTTTGTATAACTGAACTTGGAGAAGTTGCAATTTCCTCCTTTTTTCTGCTTGTACTCAACAAATTTTTTACACATTTTTTTCCTGTTGTTTAAATGCATAACGTGCTGTTATTGAAATTTCCATTCTCTTATAAGTTTGTCAAAAAGGCTGGATGAGGCAAAAGCAGTACAGTGTGTTTAAATATGATCACACTGAAATTTTGTTTGCATAGTTGCAATTAAGACCTCAGTTTAATGTTAGTGTGTTTACATGAACCGAGCTTTAATCTAATTCTTCTCCAGCACATTGATAACTGTCCTATTATTGTGATATTCACAGCACATAATTGTCATTATTTGAGCATTTGCCATAATTAAACCATTCTGTGTATGTAAACATAGCCTGCCATTAACATTGTCTGTGTTTTATATATTCTCATGTTTACTCAGTTCTCATTTTCTACTTGCTTTCTCTCTGCTTTGATGAGCTATCTGTCACTCTTCCACATTCATCCCCTCCTTTTTCTCTCCTCCCACCCACCTTTCTGTTTTGTCCATTTGCCATTAAAGATTCCATTTTCCATGAAGGGGTCTCCAGTGCTGACCTTGGTCCTTGGCAACACTGCTATAAGTTCCAAATGTAACCTTCTAGTGAGTGCACTATTTTTCTATTACCTGATTTACTCACCTTTTTCCAGTCTATTTCCATTAAAAGACCACCCGTCTCTTTAAGTTTTACAAAAAAGCTGCTGTAAGCCTCCAAGGACAAAGTTCTAAATGATCGATAATTGACCAACTCTTATAATGCCTTATCATTAAACACACTGCATACACCGTGATCGAAGTTCAGGCAAGAGGTATTGTAAATTCTTTATAATTTGCTCTACAATGATAATGAATAGAAGACTGATTTTTGGATTTATGAGGTTTTTATCATATCAAATAGTGTTAGCATTTTCAAATCACATGCTGATTGCCAGGAAAGTATGAGATATATTGACAGCAGGTTTTTCCACCTTTTGTCATTTATTTGATAATATAGCACACTGTAAAAGTGTCTCTCCTTTTCAGTTAAGTTTAATTTGGTGCTTTCCATAGTTGTTAACTGACTTTGTGTTTAAGCACATACAAATGAAACAGCTGTGCCTGCTAATGGTAAGTTTTGTGTGTACTCTGCCATATGAAGTAAAAAAAAAAAAAATTGTTGTAAGTCAGATGAGCAAATTAAACAGTCAAAAAACAGTAAGAAAAAGAGACTTCAGCAACTGTGATGGAGTTACTAATATCAGGCCGTGTTTTAGTCACACAAGCCCAACATGTGCAAAGCAATAGGTTCTGGTACAAGCACACTGTTTTCAGTTCATGTAGGTGCAAGAGAACTGGCTGAGGTGGAGTATAAAATGGAGGGTGTAGTAATTAACACATATACTCTCAGCCAGTCGCATCACTGGTCTTATCACTCTGAAACAGCTGTGCCAATCATGGTGCTGCATGGAAATACGCTTCCCCTTGAAATCATATTTATACAGAGCAGCATGATCTGAACACACAGCACCTCAAATCTGCAACCAGAGGCAGATGGTGTGGGTTTTTATTTACTTTACTTTTATTTACTTATTTACTACAATGATGGTAGAAATAATAAAAAATGTTTAAGTCCTGTATATGACTACATAAATGTTATACAGCAGCATTGTACTTCTTAGACTTATCAACATCTGTGTTAATAAATTTGCAGCCTTCAGATGGCTGCAGGATTTTAACTGCACAATAAGTTTTTCATACAGTGTAAAGCAGCTCTGGACATCAAGTACTGTTAAGAATCACATACTAATTTATAGATTAATGTAGAATGTTTGACATTTCTGCTTTAACCACATGCAGATTTAATCATATCTGTTGGTTGGAGAGTGGTTCATTGTTTGCATCATAAGCCACTGTACCGGAGTCAGATTCCTTGTGTGTTGAACATACTTGGTCAGTAAAGCTACTTCAGATTCTGATTAAGCCTTTTTCCATCATGGTTGCTCAAGCGCTCAAAGTATTTAGGTTTGTCCTTGATGCTAAAATCACCAAAGTGGCAGCAAGGTGACATTTGTTCTGAGACACCTACTCTCACTGCAAAGGAAGACCCAATTACCACTAAAACACAGTGTGAAGTGTTACACTTGTAATGAGAGCACGTCCCGAGGAATCAGTGAAAGACTAGTTATTCTCAAGACTAGATCTTTGATTGTTTTACCTTACTTATTGTGCTCAACCCCTGTATTCTGCATGTTTTGCCTTCACTTCTTCAAAGAGCAAGTTAAAACCCAATTTGAGCTTCAGGCTCAAACTATACATATAATTTTAGCCAAAAAAGTGGATTTAGTGTTAAATTACTTATTAAATAAACAACAAATCTGCCAACCAATATGCCCCATTTTTTCGTTTCTCCCTTCCCTGTCATAAGAATCATAGGGGCATCTCATTAAACATACGTACATTGCACTACCAAGCTTTACAGACCTTTGTCATGGAAACATCTATAAATACAATGACTAGTTAGCAGACTAGCGGGCAGCAAACTATTGGAATGCCATCATTTTGGAAACTGTTATAAATATGTTACAATTCTAAAATTGTCACAATTTCATTACATTTTACCACACAAACTACTAGATTGGGTTTGGGGGGGGGGGGAGTACTTTGTTAGGTTTAGGCACAAAAAAACAAAAAACTACTTGGTCACATTTAGGGAAAAAAAACAAACAAAAAAACACACACCTTGTAACATTTAAGAACAAAACCTCTTGAAAAACACAAGCCACACACTAGAATTGAAATCAGCTATCTTGAGGGGAAGTCCTGTGTTGTGTGTACCCAGCCTTCCTCCCCAACCTCCTAATGTAGACATTGTGCTGCTACATAATGTCACGTATTGCTCTTCCTCAATGTGGGGAAGACTAAAGAGATTGTTATGGACTTCAGTAGAAAACCTCTAAAGCATCCACCACTGACCATTGACAATGCTGTAGTGGAGTGAGCAGTACCAAATTCTTGGGTGGGTGACCCCGGGCGGCATCACTGTGTGGTACGGAGGCTGTACTGCCTCCTGCAACACTTGGTGAATGCAAGATCATCGGCGCCCCTCTGCCTTCCCTTACGGACATCTTTAACACCCGCCTCACCCACAGAGCCATCAGCATTACTGATGACACCTCCCACCCCGCACACTCCCACTTCAGACTCCTGCCTTCAGGGAGAAAATATCGGAGTCTTCAGGCCCACTGCACCAGACTTACAAACAGTTTCATCCACCACGCTGTGAGGATGCTGAATACTGTCCATTACCCCCCACCCCACCCCTGGACCGTAACCCAAAACAGAACATAAAAAGACTACCTCTGCTGTTTGCACAAACGGATAGTACTACAATCTGCAGGTCACAGGAACAAAGTTGACTGGTCAACTGGTGAGAATGACCTGGGGATTGCAGATCTCAAGTAGAGGGAAGAAAACCAGAGGATGTAGATAAGGGCAAGGTGACGAAGGGGCTTCAGGGGCCTTGAGAAAGGTGAACCTCCAAGTTTTCAATCCACCGGGACACTGAGGAACCATGGGCAGGTAATCTAAATTGACAGAATTCAGCACTGGGATGGCATAATAGAAATCAGGTAATACCATGGAGGTAAGAATAACTGTATTTAGCTTGCAAAGAACACTGGGTGCAGGAGTGTGGGTCTCCAAGGAGAGGAGGGAGCAGGTGAGTACTGGTAAGTGGTGTGATTTAGTAAGAGAGTCTGGGGAAGGAAGGAAGTTCTTTCCCGGAGAGAATAAACAAGGGGCAAGGAGTTGCTGTAGCTGGCGTCGGACAAGGGCAAAGAGTGTCGCCTCACTTGATGAATGCTGAGGATTGGAGTAGCAGTGGAGAGGCTTGTTTCAGGTACAGAACAGGAATGAGGAGTGACGTCTCACACAAAGAGTGTAGCAGGCAGGTAGTAGCAATAGAGGGGGCTCACTTCTACTATAGACCAAAGCTGTGTGTAAATCTTATAAATTGTAGAAAAAACACTAAACGATTCACAAAAGATGGCTCCACATGCTCACTACTTCCTTAAGTGCAAAGAAAAGAATACACTTACTTGGTGTCTCAGTCTATCAATAACACAGGGTATCAGATTCTCCTCCTTCCCCGTGAAGAGGGAGGGTGGCAGACAGAGCTATTAAAAATACAGGCCAAGCTAATGGCACTGACCTTTTTTCATTATTCAAACAAGTACTACATTAAGTGTAAATGCTAAGTTTTTGCTTTGTCACAGCTTTCATTTTCATGAGAATCATCATTTTCTACTTGGATCAGTGTCATAAAGCAGACCCACATGAAGCCTGACTGGGCTTAAATGATGCAGTGTCTTTGTCAGCACAACTGCATGCAAGGAGTGTTTCAGTACTGTTAACGTTTGTCAGGCAATTATCAGTCAGAAACAGAAATGATAAAATGCTTAGCAGAGAACCCTCGAATGTGCACAAGATACAGGATGTACACAAAAAGCATATCAAAGCTTCAAACTGGAATCAGCCCACTCAAATTACCCCTGTTACTGATGCCTCCCTTTCTGACTGGCTGATTGTTTATTTCACACATAGTTGATTCAAAATATCACTTGGTTAAAGGAGGTTTATGATTTCAGGATTGAGAGTTGTTTTCAGTTTTGATTCTCTCGTGTCTTCACTGAAAATCTCTTTGAGAACAATACTGTCAGAGTGTAAGGCAAAGTGAAATGTTAATTAATTCCAAGTGGTTATCAAAATACTATTTTAAATTTCAAATGTTTAGCCCTGTGTGAATAACCACACCTATTCATTTTGGGAGACTGTGAGAGTATAAGAATCACTGGTGTAACATGGTGTAAATTTATAAGCTAACCTGTTCTTGTTTGTATACGAGTTGCACATTTAACTTTTTTCTCCTCTGCCACAGCAGACATTGTTCCAGAGAAAGATTGTTTGTAGACAGTTATGATACAGAAAGTGAATAGCACTTCTTGAAACATTAGCAGCTAGCTTGGTAACTGACAGCAATGTTTGGAAAAAATATGCTTTTGTATAATATTGGTGAATTTTTCTTGGGAAAAATAGGCTACTCAGTAACTTCACTGTTAGACAGTATTGTCACCTAAATCACTCATCATTATGGACAGACTAGAAACCTCATGAACATTAATTATTTTGTATGTTGGAAGCAGCATCAGGCAAGAGAAGGAGAGCAAGTTGGTGAGGGTAAAATGTAAACCAGTAAGTACAATATCAACATAAAGCATAAAATGTGAAAACAAAACAAAAACTTTGCCAACTACTGTACTCTGCACATAGTCACTATGTCACCAAACTTCATTAGTAAACAACTACACTACCAGTCAAACGTTTGGACACACTTTCCCATTTCAGTTCAGTGTGAAAGTGTCTCCAAAGTTTTGACTGGTAGTGTCCATTCAGCCCACAAGGCAGAAATCCTTGATCTTGCTAATGAACTTTTAGTTGCAAACATGCCATTAACTTGTGTGGTCTTACAATTCTGTATACTCCCCTTGGCCTTCACTAAACCTCTAAAATAAAGCAGCTAAGTTTAATTTTAATCCTCAAATCTATTTTGCATGAAGAAACAACCTCATCATTCATCACAGAGTCTGTGAATGTCTAGGTTTTCCCTCCTCAGTGTGCAGTATTTCATCAATATATAATCAGCGGGCACCACTTGTTTATTAGAATACAAGTTTATTTTTTATACTGCTAAAGGTACCTGCATAGGTGTAAAATGGTTTTAGTAAGACAGTATTCATAAAAGTTAAAGCAGCAGAAAGGACTTCTGAATGCATTTTATTGAAGGGAAACAAGCAGACAAACAGTATTTATAATAACAACAGCCTGACTATAAATGCAACTACAATATCTACCAATCTTTTGGCAAACACATTTGACCTAATTAGCACATGTGGGACAATAGGACAGTGTGTGAGCATGAACTTTGCAGATATATTTTTTACACGTTGAGCACATAGTGTTTGTTTTACAGTCCTTTTTGGTTGGACAGAATTGGCATCTCCTGGTCTTGCCTGCCCCAGCTGCAACCTCACATGGAACAGAAGAAGTACATTCAGCACTCTGAACAGCTTTCACAAGTGCTGCAGAGGCTGCTGTGTGAGGGAGATGCTCTCTTCTTTGAATTTGGGGGTTACAAATGACTTTCCCAGCTGCTCCAGGAACACCCTCCCCTTGTTCTGCTTGTCAGGCATCCAGGCAGAGCAAATCTGGCTCCAAATCACAAAGGCATTGTATGATGACACATCAATGATGTTATAGATGATGACCAAGGGCCAGCGCGCAGTCATTTTCCTGCAGCTGTAAGTTCCAATCACCTTGTCCATGTTGTCCACACCTTTGTTGCAGCTTTAGTCCCAAATGATAGCTGGCTTTTTATCCTCATGATCACTGATCTCTGCTGTTTTGTGCAGTGTGCTCAGGAGGACCACATTCTTGTTCTTCTTGCAGGTCTTGACTCATGGTTATCAAACCATAACATTCTTGAAAAAGTGTGAAAGACCTTCATTGACATTGTGGCACGGAAAATCGCTCTTCCACTCTCTGCATCCCAGAGACTAGATGTAGCCTCACCTCGGGACCTATACACACCAGCTAGGATTAGCAACCCTATGTAGGCACACAGGTCAGTTTCATCCATGATTTTCCACTTGTCTCCATATTTCTGGAAACCATGTAGATTGGTCAGTTCCAGGATGATTTTTTTCGATGGCTGGGGTAATGAACATGATAAATGTTAAGACAATGTCCTGGGTATGGGAAACAGCATATCTTGTTGGGCCTGGGGTCATCTTCATTTTCTGCTGCCATCCTGCCCTGGTTGCCATATGGTAAAAGAAGACCATGATATTTTGCTCTTCTTTGACAAAAAGGTTTCTTTGTCAGCTTGGGGGATTTCTTCTCCATCTGAAGATGAGGAATCATTCTCTGGATTGTGCTCTTCCCCATCTTCTTCTTCAGATACCTCCTCCTCTTCCAAATCAGTGTTTTCTTCTTCTTGCAAGACACCTAAAGTAATCAGATCTGCAACTTGCACTGAAAAGAGCACTCATGACTTTGGCAAAAAGACAATTAGGGTGCTGCAATTTACAGCACCTATATATAAGCATTCCCTATTAGCATATAATGCTTTCAAGACATGTTTATTTTATGTGAAATTCTTTTTATTTTGTCTGAGCTTGAGTCATGCATGGGGACATGGAGGGAAGATGAGAAAGAGATCAATCAGTAGCACATAATCTTAGTTTCTTATTGTGTGTGTAGGTGTGCCAGTGTGTGTCTGTGATGTGTCTCTAGTCTTTGTGGTGTATAAATGGTTTTATAGCTGGCAGGTCAAAATTGACCCCTAAGACAATCTTTGTACCCTAGGTGTGTAAAGCCTTCATGAAAATATGAAAAGAAATAAATAATTCATTTTTTTCTAATGTTGGGGTCATTTTAGGAAAAGTCATCAAATTTCAAGTAAAAAAACATCATTTAGGGTTTTTTTCTGCTGTTAAAATGGTCACCAGTTTTGACCCTTAACAGAACACAAGGGTGTTAAAGCAAAGGGTAGCAATAATTTTAATATTTACTTTTAATGTCTGCAGATTGGTCTCTGTTGTGCCCAGATTGCACATATGTCAACACAACACAATTACAAAAGCGGGCCACATCCATGAGCTGGTGTCTGAGAAATTGTAGACTAGTAAAAGCTTTTTGACCTATACACCATTTTATGTTTCCTACTAAAGCCTCAATAATTCAAATGATAAAAGAAAAACTCCCATAATGTGTATTTCTGATTCAAACCGTAGTGAAATGTTGAAAAGTAACAGTGGATTTCTGTGATCGAAGTTTCCCACTAAAATGGCCTTGTATGGCAGGTTTTTCATCACCCATGAAAGTAAGAGCAATGCAGACTCAAACACAGAGCAAACACAAACCTCTTGTACTGAAGTTCCCCCTCAAATGAACACAAACTTCCCTACTGCCAGGTCTAGCCAGTGCTACCTGCCAAAGAGCCAGGCATAATTTCAAACTGGTCATTAGCTAACACCTACTCACACACATGCTCTCACAAACCTTTTGATAGGCAAAATCATACAGGATAACCCCTAGTTTCACAGCTAAGAAAAAAGTATAGCAAATGTTGGGGGCAATACAGCTTCAAAGAAGCCACAACGCTCCATGTTGAATCCCTTCCTTGCCACAAAGGAGCGATGAGGGAAAGGAACATTAAAGGAACAGAGAGAGGCCATGAATTGTTTGTAGGAAAGCTTCAAAGGTCACCATGGCTAATTCAGAGAGCAAGGAAGTATTAGAAAACTGCCATTAGAGCTCCACAAGGCCTGATAATGTTAATGGTTGTGACAGAAAGCATGTATTCCTGTGGCATTAACAGAATGAGCACCTAGCTTGCAGGCTCACTCAGCAGATGCTGCTTTAGTCATTTAAAATGCACACTGACTCTATATGCTATTCTCTTTTTAGAAAAAATAGAAATAGGAGTCCTCACTTTTATCCTTTGTTTATATTCAGTGGTATCTGTGTAGGCCTCTATGTGAGAAGTTGACAAGTCTTTAATTCAGTGACTAGTTGGACACAGCTATTTGAAAAATATATTAAGATTTTCCAGATCTGCTGAATGAGCAGCTTTCCTCCAAACCCTTTCAGAACTCTTAATTGGCAAAGCTAAGATTCCACACTTCCAGCTTGTGGAGGTGTTTAGTGAATGTGACTCTAGAGCAATATATAAAAGTGTTCCATGAACAGCAAGAAGGTCAAAGAATCATCAGTTAAAAAAAACAACCAGATTTTCTCAAAGCACGGTTGTGTGTGCAGGGCTAACAAATGAACTAGTGGTTATTAGAGGAGAAGACACTGTGGCCGTAGACTTCCTTACTCTAAAAAAAACAAGATGCTTCCTCTAATTCAACCCTAGTCAGCTGAAAAATAGATGACATAACATTAGGTGCATTTTCTTTGTTTTTTTTCTTTTACTTCTTTCATGGTGCACCTTCAGAATCGTTTAAATTTAGCATTATTAATCCGCTCCTGCTCAGCGGGCGATAAGACTGTGAAGATCTGGCTGACAATATTAGCTCTGATGTACTGTTAACAGGCTGTAGCACCACCAGTGCTTCTTTAAATTAAATGCAACACAGAGCAGAGCAGTAGCTCTGTAAACACCTGGCATGAATTTATCCAGTCTACTCTTATTGTGTAAAGAAAAATGTTAAATTATTAAGTGTTTCTGCACAAAGCCCATAAAATATAAATGGTTATTTACAAATTTGTGTCAAAGGCAGGGCGACATATATGAATAATACAGAAATGGAAAGTGTTGCCATGGCTGGAAATTTCACAGGACACATTCATCTGCAGGAAGGGCAGAGTTCAGCTCTAGTTAGAAGTAACTGGTCAGAGAGGAGAAACAGCTACAGCTGAAGCCATGCATCCTTTCACCTTCTGTCTCCCTTGATATCTAAGTTTCTTGCTAACACAGAGAAACAAGGTGATAATTAGGAAGATACAGAAAGAAGAAAATGCAGTAAGTGTGAGGTGTACGTGGGTTAGATCTCATTATCAAACAGCTTGTTTTTCTTTTTCCCCTCCCAGCTGATAATAGAGTTGATCTAAACAATGATGACACTCTGAAATGAACTGGATAGGATTGCTCATCTCAGTTGCTGATCAAGGGAAACGATGTAGCTGGTTTGAGGATTTGAGAGCAGACACCATCAACCCCCACCCCATCAGTGAGTCATATTACAAACAATCTGATGTTAAAAAAGATCCACAATGGGGACTTTCCAGCTTGACACTGAAATAAATACAGTGCTCTGCTGACTCTGAGTGAGCCTTTCACACACAGTGGTGCTAGAAGTGATATTTAAGTCTAATCTATTTTAACTCCCCCCCCCCCCCCCCCCCTGCCACAAACAAACCCACTTTAAGACTTGTCATCTGCCTTCCACAGCTGTCCTTTCAATAAGGCTAATGTCAGTGGCATCAACGATTCTTTGCCATGCTGTTTCCCTCTGAAGTGGGTGACAGCTGGAGTTTACTGGAGCACGGTGCTTAATACTGTGAGACGTCTGGGAGCAAAGTTGTTTCTCTGTGTATGTTGTCCACAAATGAAAGATTTGGGGTGTATCTATTTAAAGAGGTATATAGTATGTGTTTTTCCATTTTTGACAAGGGCTATCGGCATGGAAAGATGAAGCTAATAAAAACTACATGATGGTGGAAATTAAACATAATTAAATCAAGCTTTTACAGGACTTTAGAAGAGGACATTTTCAAATGTGTCACACTGAAGAGAATTAGAGGGTTATTAGTGGGGCTGCTGACATCTTTGAGAACATATGTACTATTTTGGCGTAATAGGCCTTATAAGGCCTCCAGCTGTGTTTAAACCACATCTGGAGAATCTGCCTTTCAGAAAGATAAAGGTAAATTACCGACTTACTGACTGATAATGTACAAACCATCATTCTTCAATTATAGCTCCGCATGATTCCAATTAGGTCTCACGTAATACTCCCTAAGCCTGCACCAGATATGAGATGGAGTACAAGTGTGCTTCATCTCTGTGAGTTTGCCATAAAGGTTCTCTCATAGGCCCCTTTATGCTTTGCAGCAGACTCCTAGCCCATAAATCTTGTACTGTTCTTCCCTTTTATTCTTGATGTTAACTATCCATGATGCTCTAATCACTTCCTCATCTTTTACTGCATTTTCCCCTTGAGAAGTGGTTATTTCCATAATAGCATATCAATCCAGCTGTCATTTAGCCTTTTAAAATGTAAAGAGATATTGGACTTTTTTTTGTGCTGTTTGATAGTATCCATCTTTACTTCCATCCATCTTTAATTGTGGACCTACAACCACTGAGACTACTGTAGTTAAATATACACCACAGTCCAATAAAATGAGACTAGGCAGTTTTTGAAAGGCGAAAACCCAGTCTTCTTACAAATGAAAAGTTAATTTCATAGGCAGTTAATGGCACATTTGATACACTACAGCCTTACTTGACCAGTAGCTTACAGTGGCTGTAATATTAGCTAATGTGAACTTTAGGTAAATAGTGGTGTAAAATGCACAATACTGAGTCAGTTTGGTGACTTTATAGCTGTGTCCCAATGTGTTTTGTGAGGTAACAAATTAATTAACACATAACACATTACAGAAGTAGTTATAATTGTCCAGTAATTATAATTGTAGTTATAATTTGATGTTCAATACTTACAGTGCAGTTATCAACAAAACTAATATCTCAACAAACTGAAGGTTGGTTTGTTTGCAGTTTTGTCATGAGTGTGATGGAGATTGGTCACTTGACAGAGTGGTCCAGTAGCTAAATCATACTTTAGCAGAGGGACTGGAGGTGAGAGAGGGCAGTTCTACCAAAAATGGAGAAACACAACTACTAGAAAATCCACATTTATTATATTTTTGTGTTCTTAGCCTCCTGCTAACTTTAACTGCTTTCACCCCCTAGACAGTTTGTGAAGGGATTGAGATGTTAGTAAACTTCCAGAACACTGCTTTTTAAACTGCCATGTCATGTTTTGTAATTCTATGTTAAATACAGAATATGTGCTTTGTGAATTTTGAGAATTTGGAGTCATTTGAAGACTGTAGGAGCTGGGTTAAGTGACACAATTAAGTAAAACAATGAGTAATACAGTTTATTCCCCTAACATAGGGTGTTAGGTATAGAGCAGCTTCTCATAGCTGGATGGTGGCTAAACACCTCTATAGGAACACTACAGAAAACCTAAACATAGATTCTCTTTTTTAATTAGCTATTGTAAAACTCCTCCTCTTGTGTAAGCCTTTGCTAATGTAGTGGTTAAAAACAATAAAGTTACAAGTTAAAATGTAATATGTAATAGAATTGTGACTGGGCCAATATACAGGCCTAGGCAACTCAGACCGTAGTAACTTTTAGATCCATGGTAAAAAACCACTTAGCCCCAGACAAAGCATCCAAAAACTCCTCAATCCGAGGGAGGGGAAAGGCATCCTTCCTGGTCTTGCGATTCAGCTGCCAGGA